GCTACGCATACATCGACAGGTGACGGAGCAGTCAAGCAGGACCCCACTTCGGCTTTCCGGAGTTTGGCCGGTTCTCTCTTTGAACGTTTCGCGCATGCCGTCTGGGAGGGGCTCTTTGCCATGCCACTCTACAGGATCCCGAACCACGCCGAGGCCCCGGACTTGCTGAGCGCAAGCTTTTCTCAGGAACAACGGCGCATCCAAGATGCACAGTCCCGAGAGTGGCGAAAGCGTTTCGCCAGCTGGACCAAAGACATCTACAAGCTTGCCATCCCGCTTTTCAGGGCGTCCTCGCCGACTGCCCCAGCGGATGCAGTGGAGATGCACCAGGAGTGGGAACAGCAATGGGCCCCAGACCCTGCCCAACACGATGCTGCTGGCCACTTTGCTCGTTGGCAACAATGGGCCGCTGATGCGTCCTTCCCTCAGTCGGAGCACTGGCTGCCGAGCGTTGAGCAGTTTGGCAACATCCTTGCTAAATGTCACGGCGCTCCTGGGCTGGACGAATTGACGGCCGCGGAACTCAAGCTTTTACGACGCCTCTCCCCAGAGATGATATTGCAGCTGCACGAGCTCTGGTGTGACACCAGCCGCGAGTGCGTCGACGCCCAGGGCATTCTGGACCAGGACACGTTGGACATGACTTTTCCCTGGCGTGCTGTGGGAATCCCCAAAGGTGAAGTTGAATTTCGTCCTATTACAGTGGGCTCGATCCTGGTCAGAGTTTGGTTATCGGCCTTGTCTGCTGGTATGCCACAGCCTCCAGAGAACCAGTTTGCAAGGCGGCTTGCGACGAGCGTCGTCCACGCGATCAGCAGCTGGTTACACTCATGTGAAGCATCCGAGGCAGGCGCCGAGGTGGATCTCAGCCGTGCGTACGACAACATTGACCACGCCGTGGGAGCTCGAGCTTGTATATGTTCAGGCGTTCCTCCTGCGGTTACTTTCACTGCTGTGGCGGCCTGGAGAACCCCCGCATACTGCAGCGTCAACTCGTCTTTGGCGCCGCCGATCTGGCCTTCTCGAGGGCGTCCTCAAGGCGACTCGGTGGCCCCCGCCGCCATGATCGCGGCCTTGGTGCCGTGGCAACCGCCAGTTGGTTACGTTTGTATGGACGACAGTCCCTCACGTCTTCCTCTTCCCAGGAGTTGGCCAGGGACTTGGACGACACTCAACGCTTCGACACTGATGTCGGTTTCAAGGAGAATGTGCGTAAGCGTCAGTTGTGGGCTCGCTCGGACCAACCCCCGACGGTAGTGGAACACCCAGGGATCGTGGCGACACCAGCTGATGCTTCTACCCCAATCCAGCCGAGAGGAGGCTGGGACAAATTTCATACAGCGACCCGTGTGCTTGGTACTGTTCCTGGAGGTGCCGAGATCCGTGCTCGCCTTGCTGTTGCATATATTCGCCCGCTTTGGGTGCGGGCCTGCCCCCTGGTGGCGCCGCCTCCCGGTTCGACCTGCAGCGCTCTGCACATGTCGATCACCAGATCCACCAACTGCTGGTGGTGCTACGGGCGCTGGTGGACACAACGTGTACATCTACATCCGCGCCTGCCGGGATCCCTGCAGGCCTTCAAAGTCATCTCCCAGGGGCGCCTCGTGTGGTCGACCTTCCTGGAGAATGCGATGATCATGCATGCCCAGGTCTTGGGCCTTCGCTTTGTTGCCTATGCTGATCGCCGTGGTTGCTGCCTGGAGGTAAGTGACACTGACGATCACCGAGTGGTTAGGGTTCTGCAGGGTGTTCTGGATGGCCAAAGGAGGTTTTTGGGCCCACCGACCCGATGACCCACGCCACGAGAAGAAGGTCGAGCACTTGCTGCGCTGCGTGACGCGGATTCGATGCTTGGCCGAAGTCAATGACAAAACGTTTCGACGCCGAGGAGATCCTGGACGTGGATGTGGATGCGGAGTCGAACATCGTGCACAAGCGTCTCTACAATCGTCTGGGGGAGGACACGGGCCGGCTGGTGCGGATCTTTCGTGCTGGAGCCGTGTCCTCTGAGACGCGCCGCTGCTCGGGAAAGGCTTGCCGCCAGTGTGGGGCGGTGTCTCCCTCGTTTCGCCATTACTGGGCCGATTGCCCAGCCTATCATTCCCCGCGAACTGGCATCGCCAGGAGATATGTATTACCCCTCAATTGGTGGTCTACTGCGCCGAGGGTTCTGAGTAAGTCGGGGTGGGTCTGCTACTCCGACTCGCAGAGCCCAACTGAACGAGCGACCAAGCTGAGTGTCGCTGTCGAGATGGCGATAGTTGTATTGGGCACCGACATGGCTGAAAGGCTACATCCACTAGACCACGAACCTTCTCAAGTGGTTCGTGATGCTGGGGCTTGATTTCAGTTTCAGAGTGAAGCTACTCCAGAGTTCGGGTACTTCACGATCACCATATTCTTACCCCCGCACTGATGTTTTGGACAGTGACGTCGCGATCTGAATGACTTACACGTCCGACTATCAGATGTTTGAAGATGTCCGTCGCTTTACAGCGATGGGAAGCTCACGTGGCGGCACCAATGATCGGCTCTGGGCTCACTCCCCCCCCCAAGAAGTGCGCATTACACGATCTCTGATGACGTATTTTGCCCATGCATACGTAAACAAAATACATATGTATATGTGTACGTATATGCACACGTATACATAAGGCGACTCCGAATATCCTGGATCCTGAAGCCTCGAATATACATAAGGCGATCGAAATCCTGAAGCCGCCGCCTTCCGCAACGCCGCCGACCTCCCGCTGGCTTCTGCCAGAGGACCTGCCGCCACTTCTCCTCCGCTGGCCTTTCGCCAGCCTCCGCTTGCACACCGAAGGCGAGGCCCTTTCGCGAGCGCGGCAAATACTGCCATGGGTAGAACCGCCATTGCTTTTCCGTGGATTCGGCTCGCAACAAGGTGGGGCTGCAACACAGTAAAGCACGGCGACAGCGGTCGGAAAGGATGGCGAGGAGGCGCGTCATAGGGAAGAGGCGTTTGCGTCGCCCTACCTGGGAAGTCCGAAGAGAATGAGGCAAGGCGGAGGGAGGCTGCGCCGGGTCCCATCCGCACCCCCTCCCCAGCACGGGCGAATCGAAGCTAGCCGACGCTCAATCGGCGCTATCTCGTCGATTACCAAACGCTGATCGATGCTCGTGCACTTTCAAGACGGAATCACGAAAGTAAACCAGGCGCCCGTGATTTGCTACCGAGCGATGCCTTGATCTTGACCAGCGCGGGGCCCCAAGAGGCTCCGACGCCTTCCCCAAGGCCAGCTCTTCCTCACGAACCGCCTCCTCGACGGCCCCGTATGACTTTGGGGGACGACGGCCCGAAGTCACGGACGCGCCCGGGCGCTACCGGGCGCTCCTGGGAGAGACTGCTTAAGCTTTCCCGGGACCAGCCCGAGGCCCCCGAGGCCGACCACGGCGAACGCAAATCCCTCCGCCTCGATGTTCCCAAGACGCTGGGTGTCTGCTGCCCACCCTGGGAGCCCACCGAAGCAGCCGGCCAAGAGCGCCGGCCACTGGGGCATCCCGACGGGGGCGATTGAACTTTTCCAACTGGCAATATTTCCTCGACTTTGTCCTCGGGTTCCCGATATCGGGCTCTGTGGGCCATCAAAGGAAAACCTACCCGTGGGAAAGGGGTCGGGACCCCGGGGTCCGTGCACCGAAACAACACACATCGTCGAATGTCTTGCGGGGAAAGAAAGCGACCACAACCACATCGAGGACGCACCTTGTGGGATGTTTGCGCAGGCCAGCAATCGTCAAAACACCGAAATCAGCTTAGAACTGGTCGTGGTAGATGTGGACCTCCCGGACGGCCAAACCGACAACAACCACAACCAGAGTGTTCATGTCAAGGTCGGTGGGCTTTCCCTCGATGGGCCCTCCAGAAAGTCCACTTGGCCGCGGTTCTTTGTTGTGCCCGGATGCCCGGTCCCCTAGCCCTGAATTCCGCTGAGGGCGCTCGACAACCAAGCGGCGCTGGCATGGACAAGGGATCCGTGGACCTGTTGTGTGGGCGCTGGGGCCCACGTCGCCCGATTGCGCGACGGAGCGCGCCGATCCTGCACGCAAGCAAGACCCGCTTCTACTCCGCTCGAGCAGGGATCGACCGTCCTGGCCTTCCTATAGGCCTACCACGACATGTTCTTAGAACCCGAAAATGTTCTAGGAACAAGAACACTGTTCTTAGAACATAAACCCGATGTTTAAAAACTAGACAGTGGCAGCAAGAAGTATTCTAATAAGATTTCGTGCAGACCACCAGAGGTTCTTAGAACATTCTTTGGTAGGCCTGTAGACGAGCCAGGACGCTTCGCCTCTGCTTGATCCACACGCCTTACTACACGCTGGCGTTTCCTTGAGGTGAGGTAGGGACCAGCTCGGGGGGGGGGCATCGGGCTCGATTGTCAGCATGTCGCCAGCTGATCGGCGACATACCCTCGGTGGCGGCATCGCCCGTTTCTGGGCGGGGTGGGCTATCAAAAGCCTCTTTCGGAGAGGCGTGGACGTTTTGGGAGTCGATGTGTTCACCCTGAGGCGACAGATCCCCCTGTTACCGTTGCCCCCAACCCACGCCAGGGACTTCCCTACATTCACCGCTCTGGGGACGTTCCCGCCAAGACCTCGCGGATCGTTTTGTATATGTTGCCACCTTCCCGCCACAGGATGTGTCCATACCCAGAGCTCAGAAGCGATGATTTGTTCAATACACGGTTCGGGAACTCTGACGCTTTCTCGACGGAAGTGTGTCATCCTGAGTCGTTTCTGTTAACTATCCTGGGCCTTGCGAGGGACCGCAGAAACCGAAAACTGCTCAAAACCTGCCTTTCTGGTTGACAATATATTGAAGGTCTGGCTACGTATCCGGCGCTCTAAGAGGTCCCCAAAGGCAAGTCCCCAGATCGGTGGATATGGGGACCTTCTGGGCATGGATCTTGCCCTAACGGTCATCTCGGCTCTGGACCTGGGGCCATCCCTGCCGACTCGGCTGACCGAAAGGCCTGTTTTGCACCAGCATGATCGTCGTCTTCCGCTCTGCCACCTCGTCCTGCCACGCCACGCCGTCCTTTGGGGGGGCAAGACAAGAGAGAGGGACGGCGTATGCCGAAAGCAGCGACCTCAATCAGGCGCCAATTCCTGTGAGGTCTTCGTGGGCACGGCCGAACATACCACGCAACATTAGGGGTGCTATCGCGGAGGATAAAACATACTCCAGCCACGCGTCAAGCCAGACTCAGCAGGATTAGCCAAGATTTGCGTGGACCTCTCCAGGCTAACACATTAGAGCCGATTTCGCTTCAAGGATCCCCTCATGCGAAACTCATCATGTCTGATTTCTCCTTGCACCCCTGCCCAAACGAATGCGCGTTATCTTGTGTCGCTTGATGTTGTACGATGTTGCGTCACGTTGCGCTTTACGTTGCGCGGTGTTGTGAGTCGTCTGGGCGTGGGGACCATGACGAGCGACGGGCTACAGCCCCAATGCTACGGCTCCGGTGCTACTGAAGAAACCGGTATATATCTCGCCATGAACTGAAAAAAGGTTTGCAATGTGGAAGAGACAGAACCCTTTTGACATTCGGCAACTCGCCACAAAACAAATCCATCTGTAATTCACGACAACGCGACCACTTTTGAAATCTGCCTGACAACGGATCCTCTCGCATTCGGCCTGACAAGGGGTCTTCTAGTTACGTGCAACAAAAAGAGTCCCACCAGCCCTCTGGGCGTCGGTTGTTTAGGGAGTTTCCTCTTCCACCCCTCCTTCTTCCCCTTCGGGGAGGGGTTTACCCCTCCCCCTACCCCCTCCCCATGGACCTGGACAAAGGGTTTCGCGAGTCGTTGGAGCGTCCAAAACGGCCTCGGCGAGGAAGCCAAAATCATTGGTTTTGCTATGGTTTTGGCCCCATTTTGGCCTCCTGGGGGGGGACGCCAATTAGTGCTCCCCTCTTGTTTGATCGATCTCCTCCAAGATGGCCCCAAGAAGCGCCCAGGAGGCCCCAAGAGGTCCCAAGATGGCCCCAAGATGGCCCCAAGAGGCCCCCAAGAGGCCCCCAGGAGGCCCCCAAGAGACCCCCAAGAGGTCCCAAGCGACCCCTCAGAGGCACCCAAGATGCTCCAAGAGGCCTCGGCGAGAATGCCAACTCATTGATTTTACAAAGGCTTTAGCCACATGTTGGCCTCTGGGGGGGGGGGGGGGGCACTGCTTAAGATGACTCCAAGAGCGCCTGGGAGAGCCCAATATGACCTCCAAGATGGCTCAAGATATCCCAAGATGTCTCGTAATGGCTTCCTCTGTGTGCTGCCCACTTCCCTGATCGAGGCAATTCCTCTGGGCATCGTTTCTGGATGGACGGGTGGGGATTCGCGAAGCGTCAACAATTCCCTTGCACTCCGCAACAAAGGGTCCTTTTCGCAATCCGCTACAACAGAAATCCGTGTTGCAATCGCATCGCCGGACAGGGGCACCCCTCCCCGGATAAGAACATGTAGATATCTGACAAAATTATCCCGGCAAAGCAACCTAACAGCGATGCGCAGGAGCATATCTGGAAGCATCCCCCTTAAGATGCAGATGAGAATCCAGTTGTAGAGTTCTGCTGTTCTCGCAGTCGTTGTCGCATTCGCGATGACAGTCGCAGTGGCCTGCATTAGCCTCAGCCTCAGCCTCAGCCTGCCTCAGCATCAGCCTCAGCCTCAGCTTCAGCCTGCCTCAGCCTCAGCCTCAGCCTGCTCCTGCATCAGCCTCAGTCTGCCTGCAGCCTCGGCCTCAGCCTCAGCCTGCCTCAGCCTCAGCCTCAGCCTCAGCCTGCCTCAGCATCAGCCAGCCTCAGCCTCAGCCTCAGCCTCAGCCTCAGCCTCAGCCTCAGCCTCAGCCTGCTCAGCCTCAGCCTCAGCCTGCCTTCAGCCTCGCCTCAGCCTCAGCCTGCCTGCCTCAGCCTCAGCCTGCCTCAGCCTGCCTCAGCCTCAGCCTCAGCCTCAGCCTCAGCCTCAGCCTGCCTCAGCCTCAGCCCTCAGCCTCAGCCTCAGCCTCAGCAGCCTCAGCCTGCCTCAGCCTCAGCCTCAGCCTGCCTCAGCCTCAGCCTCAGCCTGCTTCAGCCTCAGCCTCAGTCTGCCTCAGCCTCAGCCTCTGCCTCAGCCTCAGCCTCAGCCTGCCTCAGCCTCAGCCTCAGCCTCAGCTGCTTCAGCCTCAGCTCAGTCTGCCTCAGCCTCAGCCTGCCTCAGCCTCAGCCTCAGCCCTCAGCCTCAGCCTGCTCAGCCTCAGCATCAGCCTTCAGCCTCGGCCTCAGTCTCAGCCTGCTTCCTCAGCCTCAGCCCTCAGCAGCCTGCCTCAGCCTCAGCCTCAGCCTCAGCCTCAGCCTCAGCCTCCTCAGCCTCAGCCTGCCTCAGCCTCAGCCTGCCTCAGCCTCAGCCTCAGCCTGCTTCAGCCTCAGCCTCAGTCTGCCTTCAGCCTCGGCCTCAGCCTCAGCCTGCCTCAGCCTCAGCCTGCATCAGCCTCAGCCTCAGCCTCAGCCTGCCTCAGCATCAGCCTGCCTCAGCCTCAGCCTCAGCCTGCCTCAGCCTCAGCCTCAGCCTGCTTCAGCCTCAGCCTCAGTCTGCCTTCAGCCTCGGCCTCAGCCTCAGCCTGCCTCAGCCTCAGCCTGCATCAGCCTCAGCCTCAGCCTCAGCCTGCCTCAGCATCAGCCTGCCTCAGCCTCAGCCTCAGCCTGCCTCAGCCTCAGCCTCAGCCTGCTTCAGCCTCAGCCTCAGTCTGCCTTCAGCCTCGGCCTCAGCCTCAGCCTGCCTCAGCCTCAGCCTGCATCAGCCTCAGCCTCAGCCTCAGCCTGCCTCAGCATCAGCCTGCCTCAGCCTCAGCCTCAGCCTGCCTGCCTCAGCCTCAGCCCTTCAGCCTCAGCCTCAATCTGCCTTCAGCCTCGGCTTCAGTCTCAGCCTGCCTCTGCCTCAGCCTGCAGCCTCAGCCTCAGCCTCAGCCTCAGCCTGCCTCAGCTCAGCCTGCCTCAGCCTCAGCCTCAGCCTGCCTCAGCCTCAGCCTCAGCCTGCTTCAGCCTCAGCCTCAGTCTGCCTTCAGCCTCGGCCTCAGCCTCAGCCTGCCTCAGCCTCAGCCTGCATCAGCCTCAGCCTCAGCCTCAGCCTGCCTCAGCATCAGCCTGCCTCAGCCTCAGCCTCAGCCTGCCTCAGCCTCAGCCTCAGCCTCGGCCTGCTTCAGCCTCAGCCTCAATCTGCCTTCAGCCTCGGCCTTCAGCCTCAGCCTGCCTCAGCCTCAGCCTGCATCAGCCTCAGCCTCAGCCTCAGCCTGCCTCAGCCTCAGCCTGCATCAGCCTCAGCCTGCTTCAGCCTCAGCCTCAGCCTGCATCAGCCTCAGCCTGAGTCTGCCTTCAGCTTCGGCCTCAGCCTCAGCCTGCCTCAGCCTGCCTCAGCCTCAGCATCAGCCTGCCTCAGCATTCAAAATGTGGCCAGGGAATGGAATTCTGGGAACTCGAAGAACACGAAGTGGCCTACAGTTTGCTCCGGGCATTCAAAATCATACCCAGGAATGGAGTTCTGGGAAGTCCAAGAGCACGAAGTGGCCTACAGTTGGCTCCGGGCATCCAAAATGTGGCCCGGGAATGGAGTTCTGGGAACTCGAAGACCAGGAAGTGGCCTACAGTTGGCTCCGGGCATCCAAAATGTGGCCCAGGAATGGAGTTCTGGGAACTCGAAGAGCACGAAGTGTGTGACTGTTGCATCCGGCCCTCCAGAATGTGGCCCGGGAATGGAGTTCTGGGAACTCGAAGAGCACGAAGTGTGTGACTGTTGCGTCCGGCTATTCCGAATGTGGCCCGGGAATGGCGTTCTGGGATCTCGAAGAGCACGAAGTGTGTGACTGTTGCATCCGGGTATTCAGAATGAGCCTGGGAATGGAGTTCTGGGAAGTCGAAGAGCACGAAGTGTGTGACTGTTGGCGAAAAACGAGCCCGGCACCCTGCCGCCCGGCAACTCCCAACACCTGCCCGGACCCCCCCGTGGAGTGATCTGTGAGCTCTTTTTAGACCACTAGAAACCTGCCAGTCTTCGATGTCAGGTAAAAAGACTGGAAAGCCAACTGCACAAATAAGGTGAACACACACAAAAGAAAACTCATCAGAAGACAACGCAAAACACACAAAGCACTGAGCCACCGCAATTCACTGCTTTCCCAAACAATTCTGTGGTGTTGGGTCATCGCTTCGAAGGGACAAGGCCCCGCGCCCCTCCTCTCTCCGTCTGCGCTCCCTCTCTCCTCCCATCCCTCCTTCTGCCCTGCATATGCCCTCATCTGATCGCCGTCAGGCGCACCCACACCCGATCCGGCACACCCCTCACACGTTTCGCGGCCCCATAGGGAGCCCCACCGAAGGTCCCAGTGGCAGGGACTGCATGGCGTGCCCGCGCCCGATTCGGCACACCCCTCGCACGTTTCGTGGCCCTGTAGGGGTCCGACCGCAGGCCCCAACGGCAGGGTCCGCATGGCGAACCCGCACCCGACTCAACAAACCCCTCACACGTCTCGTGGCCCCAAAGGGAGCTCCACCGCAGGCCCCAGCGGCAGGGCCCGCACGGCGTACCCACACCCAATTAGGCACATCCCTCACACGTTTCGTGGCCTCATCGAGCGCTCCACCGAAGGCCCCAGCGGCAGGGTCCGCATGGCGTAACCGCACACGACTCAGCACACCCCTCACACGTTTCGTGGCCCCACAGGGAGCTCCACCGAAGGCCCCATCGGCAGGGCCCGCATGGCGTACCCGCACCCGACTCAGCACACCCCTCACACGCTCCGTAGGCCCCATGAGGAGCTCCACCGCAGGCCCCAACGGCAGGGTCCGCATGGCGCATCCACACCCAATTGGGCACACCCCTCACACGTTTCGTAGCCACGAGAGAAGCTCCACCGAAGGCCTCAGCGGCAAGGCCCGCATGGCGTACCCGCACACGATTTAGCACATCCCTCACGCGTTTTGTGGGCCCGCAGGGAACCCCACCGATGGCCCCAGTGGCAAGGTCTGCGTAGCGTACCCGCACCCGACTCAACACACCCCTCATATGCGGGCCCCGCCGAAGGCCCCAGCGGTAGTGTCCGCATGGCATGCCCGCGCTCGATCCAGCACACCCCTGACACGTTTCGTGGCCCCATAGGGAGGTCCACCAAAGGCCCCAGCGGCAGGGTCTGCATGGCGTACCCGCATCCTACTCGGCACACACCCCACACGTTTCGCGGCCCCGTCGGGAGCTCCACCGAAGGCCCCAACGGCAGGGTCCGCATGCCCTGCCCGCGCCCAATTCGGCCCTCCCCTCACACGTGCCGTGGCCCCGTAGGAAACTCCATCGCAGGCCCCAGCGGCAGGGTCCGCATGGCGCACACGCGCCCGATTCGGCACACTCCTCATTCGTTTCGTGGCCCCGCAACGAGTTCCACCGCAGGCCCCAGCGGCATATTCCGCATGGCGTACCCGCATCCGATTCGGCTCACCCCTGACACGTGATAGGGAGCTCCATCCAAGGCCTGAGTGGCAGGGTCCACGTGGCGCATCCGCCTCGTGTCGGCACACCCCTCACTTCTTCCCCCCTGTTTCTTCTCATTCGCCTCGCGGTACCCGCAGCTTCATGTCCCGTTCATACAACTGAGATATGTCAAAGTGTTCATATGTTCGTTGTGCGTTTGACACGATATTTCATATTGTGTCATGCCCACTTCGTTTCTCCTCCCCTTGGGGGCAATTACAAAAGTGAAATTATCTTGTGGCGGATTGCAGAAGGGGGCAATTACAAAAGTGAGATTATGTTGTGGCGGATTGCAGAAGGATCCCTTCTGCTGCGGACTACCAGAGGAATCCTTGTCCCGCACATAACGAAAAGACCCCTTGCCCGGCCTGTAGCTGTGGGTTGCAAAGTGGTTCCCTTTTGTGGCTAGTTTCGCACGGATTCCCCTGATGGCAAATGGCAGAATATCCATTGTGTGCGAGCCGCTACGACAAAGATGTTTTTGTTGTGGCGCATTGCAAAACGATCCTACACTACAACTGAAAGACCGCCACACATGAAAACCTGTGTCGGGCCGCCACACTTCGCTTCTGAGAACCCCTGCTTGCTCGTCCTCCACCTCCTGCTGCTTCTGCTGCTCTTCCTTTTCCCGCTTAGCTCTCAATGCGCATGTGCCCACGTACCAAAAGGCTTCGATTGACAGAGATACGCGTGCGACACAGACACGCGTGCGTGAAATCGCTCGTCCCCGAAAGGGGGGAGGAGGAGAAAGAGCAGAAAGGAGCAGGATGAAGAGGAGGAGAAAGAGCACGAGGATGCGCAGGACCCACAGGTGTGTCAACGACTCGGTTTCGACGGAGGCGTCGCACTGGATGCATCTGGTCGGCTACTGCATCATATGTAGCTGTCCTCTCGCCTTGGACTTCCTCGAAACTGATTCAGGCGCCGCGCCCTCGGTACTCAGGAATCGCGCTCTCGCCAAAGACTTACGAACAAAATACTCAGGACGGCTTTCCTTAATTACCAAGGAATTGCGCTCTTGCTTGGGAGGTCCTTGCACTTTACTCCGGGATGGCGCTTTTTCTTGAGACGTCCTTCCCAGTCACGCCTTCTGTGGCCCCATACACTTACCCTCCGTGGCCCCCGCTTGCTCGTGCCCGTATTGGCCTCATTGTTCGGCAACGGTAAATGAATCACCGCCACCAACAAGAAAGACCACCGACATCAACAACAAAATTCGCCGGCCCAACGGGCCAGGGCGTGCTAAGATCTCCGGTAATTGGTTAACAGTATTAACAGTATTTCTAGTTCGCGCGCGCGGGGCGGCCCCTGGGGGTCCCCCTGCGAAAAGTACCCCGACCAACGCCCGACCGCCGCCCGACCGCCGCCCGACCGCCGCCCGACCACCGCCCGACCAAGTCTACTCAGAGATGGTTTTCCTTCTGGGTGCGGCCTCTCAGGCTCCCCAGAGCGTGCTCAGAGTGCCCCAAGAGGCCCCCAAGACTGCCCAAGAGGCCCCCGAGACGCCCAAAGAGCGCTCGAAGACGCCGAAGATGACCCCAAGACGGCCCAAAAGGCCCCCAAGACAGCCCAAGAGGCCTCCAAGACGCCCCAAGAGCCTTCCAAGAGGCCTCCGAAGAGAGCCCCAAGAGGCCAAAATCGTTGATTTTCATTGGTTTTTTCTATGTTTTTTGTGTTCTGGCTTTTTCGGCTTCCGGACGCTCCAAGACGGCCCAAGAGGCCCCCAAGACCGCTCCAAGACGGCCCACGAGGCTCCCAAGACGGCCCCGGAACGGCCCAGGAGGGCCCCCAAGACGGCCCAAGTGCCGCCCAAGACGGACCAAGAGGCCCCAAGACGGGCCCAAGAGGGGCTCAAGAGGGGAACCGAGAACTGAAAAATCGAGCCCTCCGCCCCAGAAGGCGCCCAGGAGGCCCCAAAAAGGCCCCAAGAGGCCCCCAAGAGGCCCCCAAGACGCCCCAAGAGGCGCCCAAGAGGCCCAAAAGAGGCCCCAAGAGGCCCCAAAACGGCCCCCAAAACTCGGCTAGCCCACAACGGTGCGACAATATGGGCCGGCGGAATGAGCGAAGCGATTAAATAATAATTCTCACAAGCGCGGGGAAAGATTCGATCCCAGAACCGCCTATTTCCATTGTGTTAACCTGGATTACGTAACCCGATGCTACATTCAGCATCTCAAGAATTCGCATCCTACCCAACAGCCCGCAACAGCATCCCTCCATCCCTGCTACGAGCGACAGGTGAGTCGGTTCGGGACAGTGAGAGCAGTCGAAATTCTGCCATGAGGAACCCACTACGTTGGATAAGGCACGACACTCCCTTCGGACCTCACATGCAGACAGGGACACGCGGAGCGCTGGGAGAAGACCAGCGGAACGACGTAAGGAACACGAAAAGCTGCCGTCGAGAGCAGAGCGGGTCTTATCGCATGTATTTTAACATTAACCCATTGCCAGCTCCCTCACGCATGCTCTGCGTCGCGCCCCCCTCTCCATGCAGCCTTCCAGGGGGGCACGGCGGGTTGCGGGAGAATAGCAGCTGGGTGTCCGCCAGCAGACCTCAGGAACTCCCTTCGTCGGATCCCCCGTCCTTCACCCAATCTGTCGTCGGTGGCCCGGGGATGAGCTGCGCCGCCTTCCTGGCGTAGTCCCTGTCCGGCTCAAAGGCATCTTCTCTGCCGGGGGCCCGTAAGTACCACAGGACCCTCTCGGCAACGTCTTCCTCGGCCGTCTCGGCGTCCTCGCACAGCTGGCCCGAGAACGTATGGTAAACGCCGAGAATGGCCATCTCCACCATCGCTAGGCACCTGTCCCCTTCGGACTTGATGCTGAACCTCGGCTGTTAGCCAACGGATCAGACCCGACCAGAAGCCCCAAAGGGACCCACCCGTTTGTAAGATCGTGGGCAGGCTGTTGCGAATCACGGCCGAAGCTGCAACTCCCCTTCTCGCACCTCCGAGATAGGAACACAGAGAAACGACGCCACCACGACCAGCGCGAGGAGCCATGGGGGGGTCATCTTGGTGGTGTGCCCCCCCCCCCCCCCATCACCGCTCCAGACATCCCACGTCCATAGCTCTGGGGGGCATCGTGGACCTCTTTGCTGGAGGGGGCGCCCCTGGTGGTGGTGGTGATGGTGGTGGTGGTGGTGGTGGTGGTGGTGGTGTCGCCCGTCGCTCCTCCGATGTAAGTCCCCCCTCGCACCTCCGAAAAGGGTCAGGGACCCCCCACGGAGCAATCAGACAGGCCGCGGTGGGACCAACCGAACACCCGAGCTGGCGCGGCATCACCCGGCCATGACTGACCCAAAGCTTCGAAGACTGCCGAGCGGCAATGCGTCTCCTTTTGATCCCACGTTTCCTTCCTCTCTTGCCTCCCGATATTATTCCCTCTCCCTCCTCCGCTCACCATCTTACCTCCTCCTTCTCTCTTCCGACTCTTGGCATTCCACCTGATCCTCCTTTTACGGCGCCTCGTCATCCTCATCCTCATCCTCATCCTCATCCTCATCCTCATCCTCATCCTCATCCTCGCCTGCCGACTCCTCGATTCTCAGCCTTGCATTCCGCATGAAGGAGGTGGAGACGATGAGAACAACGACGACGACGACGACGACGACGACGACGACGACGACGACGACGACGACGACGACGACGACGACGCTGCCGCCGCCGCCGCCGCCTCCGAAGGCCTCCAGGAAGCCTCCGAGGGCCTCCCCGAATGCCTCCGACGGGCCCCCCGGGATGCTCTCGAGGGCCTCCCCTGGGCCCCCGAAGGGCCTCCGAGACGCCTCCAGGGGCCCCCCTGCGGGGGGGGCCTCCAGGAGGCACCTCGGCGGCCATCCAGGGGCGGCCGCCGGCTTGCCTGGGACACGGCCAGCCCATCTCGTCGCAAAAGTCCCTGAGGAACTCGACGGCTTCCTGCTGCGAGCCCTCGCTCTGCGTGTCCTGACGAGGGGAGGTCCTTCTCCACCTCCTCCTCCTCCTCCTCCTCCTCTTCGTCGTCCTCCTCCTCCTCCTCCTCCTCCTCCTCCTCCTCCTCCTCCTCCTCCTCCTCCCTCCCTCCTCCCTCCCTCCCTCCCTCCCCCCCTCCCTCCCTCCCTCCCTCCCTCCCTCCCTCCCTCCCTCCTCCCTCCCTCCCTCCCTCCCTCCCTCCTCCCTCCCCTCCCTCCCTCCCTCCCTCCCTCCCCTCCCTTCCTCCCTCTCTCCCTCCCTCCCTCCCTCCCTCCCTCCCTCCCTTTTGAAGGACCGACCGTCCCGGCACTCCTATAGTCCTACCACGAAGTGTTCGTAGAACCCAAAATGCCACAATATCACGAACAATGTTCTTATAACATGAGCCCGATGTGATACAACAAGACAGACTCCGCCAGAAATGCTCTAAGAACATTTCATGGAAACCACACAAAAGTTTCTGACACATTGCTTGGTAGGGCCACAAGCGAGCCAGGACGCTTCGCCACTGCTTGATCCCTCCCTCCCCCCCTCCCTCAGACACAGCTTGCGCGCCAGCCCCCGTCTGCATGCTGATGCTTGCCCTCACCCGCTGCTCACGCCACCTCCCTCGGCTCCCTGGCCGGCCCCAGCAGCCCGGCCGGCCCGGCAAGCGGAGCTGGCCGCGCAGCGCGGCGCGACGGCCAGCCCCAGGGCCTGCACCGCGCAGCTCCCGAGCCCGAGCAGGATCTGCCGCGCCGCGGCCCGCCCGACGGCGGCCTCCAAGCCGGCGCGGAGCGCGCGGACGTGGAGGCGCGACGGCGCGCCGCGTGCCGGGGCCGCAGTCTGCCCTGGTTGCCAGACTCCGTGTGCAGGGCCGCAGCAGCATGCAGCGCCTGCGGGCCGATGCGGCCCAACGTCTCCATCGAGAAGGGGATGGCCGCCTCCCACTAGTGAGTTCGTTGGTCGGTCTCGCCTCACGAACGCTCCGTGTCGCGTGCCGGTCGCCCCGAAGGAGTTCGTGCGACGCGCGCGTGTCGCCCGCGGCGCGGGGTCAAACAATTCAGGTGGCTGACAAGGGGCGAATCGCCAGGCAGAGCGCGCGGGAGTCTGGCAGCACTTCGAGGCACAGCGCAGGGCAGTCCCACGCGCGTTGGCCGCCCCGAGAAGATTCCACGGGTCGTCCGCGGCGCGAGGCCATACAGTTGTGCAGTCGAGAGAAAAGCCAGACTCGAGAGGGCCATGTCAGACCTCGCGGAAAGCCTGGTGAAACCCAGCTCCTTGGAGAAGCCGTCGCCAAACTAAAAAGACGCACCGCTTGCCCCAATCCGCTCTTCTCCCCGCAAGCGCCCAAATCCTCTTGCAAGACCCCCTCTTCCACTTTCGCTTGCCTCGCGATGCCCGCAGCTGCATAGGTTGGACCCTTCGACGGGACGGTCACTCTGTGAACGACCAAGTTGCGCAACCATTGTTTTTATATGTTTCGAAACGCTCGGTTGTGAAATTCATGCGATCCATCAGCTACGAAATTGATTCCAACATGCGCGCGCGACGACGCGCGCGCATGTACTTCTTGTATATGTTGCAAGAGATTTTTCCAAGCGGATGGTGTCGACCAGAGCGTTTTTTGGACCAGGAATGTGGGGGGAATCGAACAAGCCTGGCTGGAATGATAGGGGTCCGATTTAAAATGGACGATGGGGCAGAATCGTATGTCAAGTTTACACGCCCACGGGGCGCCGATTGAACGGGGGGGCGGAGGTCCTACTTCCTTTTTAAACAGCTGAACCCCTGTGGCGCAATCTACGTAATGAAATTGATGATAATTCGCAGTGGGTTGTCAACCCCAGTGCTCGCGCCATCATCCCATCCGCTCAGCTACATCTTGGTTTGCAAAACCCATGCGGCGGCGACTGCGATGATTGCTTGGCGTCGGCTGGCGCGTCGCTGCGACCGCGCCGGCGCGCGCAGGCTCGCGCGCAGAGCGGCCAGCCAACCTGGCGCGACCGACGCCGCCGCTTTGGCCGCGACCGCCGGGGACTTCCCAGCGCGTCTCGCAGTCCGTGCTGACACGCGGGCACCTCAGTGCGAGTCGGAGACTCGGGCGGGCGCGGTATCTTAGTGACGTCGCCAACGGCAGACACGATCATGATTGTAGCGATGCTGGTGGCGACGATGACGAGGACGACGGCATGGCCAATGACGGCGCAGATGCTGACCACGCCGATGACGACGATGGTGTCCATCTGTCGGTGCTGAAAAACGTGTCAAGATTTCGACATGCACGTCCGGCCGACGGGCGCGAGTGGCCAGCATGGTATTATTTGACAGGGACCGTGCCCACCAAGCACGCGCGCAAGGGACTTCGAATGATGTCGACATGCGCGCGCGAGACGCATGTTTGGTCGACTGTGATGAACATGTGCGGGGCACTCGGTTTAAAATCTCAGCGAAATCGTAAATTGTTGAACGATTCCGGCATGCGCGCGCGACGACGCGCGCGTGTACACTTCCTCTATCTGTTGCAAAGAACTAGTACTTGACAGCTGATATTTCTGGATGTACGAATGCGGGCGCATAGTGTTTTTTGTGCTGCAAGGGGTGCATGGGGAGGGGGGTTCGAAACTGGTTTGGCTGGGGTCAAATGAATTTATATTTCGAAGGAACGAGGGGCCAGAATCATATGTAAACTGCGCGTCCCCAAGGGGGCATAAGTCCAACCTCGGGAAGGCGGTGGATCTGAATTCTATGTCAGAAGGGCGAATATGCGGTGCAATTAATTTCTGTTCGCAGTGAGTTGTCCACTCCACTGCTCGCGCTAACATCCCACCCACCCACCCGCAACTTGGTTTGCAAAATCTCTTAAGACCGTGACGGTGGGTACCAAATGGCACTTGGCAACGACAGCGACGCCGACGACGACAGCGACAACGACGACGACGACGCCGCCGACAACGACTACGACGACACCGACGAAGTCTCCAACGACTTCGACGACGCCGACAACGACGACGACTACGACGACGCCGACAACGACGACGCCGACGCCGACGACGACGACGACGATGACAACGACGACGACGATGACGACGCCGACGACGACGACAGCGACACCGACGACAGCGACGACGACGTCAACGACGCCGACGACGACGACGACGACGACGACGACGGCGGCGACATCGACGACGCCGACGTCGACGACGACGACGAAGACGACGACGACGTCACCGCCAAGGACGACGACGAAGACGACGACGTCGCCAACGAAGACGACGACGAGGGGGGAGGGAGGACGACGACGGCGACAACGACGACAACAACGACAACGACGAGGGAGGAGGGAGGACGGCGACGACGCGAACGACGAAGAAGGAGGAAGTACGGCGACGCCGACGACGACAACGACGAGGGAGGAGGGAAGACGACGACGACGACAACGACGACGACGACGACGACGACGGCGACGAAATAGGAGGGACGACGACGAGACGCCGACGACGGACGACGACGACGAGGGAGGAGGAGGAAGGACGACCACGGCGACAACGACGACGGAAACGACCACGACGCCAAAGAGGACGACGACGACGAACACGAGGAAAGATAGAGGACGACGTAGGCGACGACGACGACGCGGGAGGAGGGAGGACGGCGACGACGACGACGACGCAAGAGCGCGCGCGCACGCTTTTGTTGAAAATCCGTGTTGCGAAATCTTGTGTTTTCGTAGGTTTTGTGGACACACGATTTTGAAATCCTTCCGAAACCGATGGGTTTTGAAGGATTTCGGCAGACGGGGGCGACGACGCGCGCGTCTGCACTTCGGCCCGTTTTTTGCAGAGGATTCTCGCGACGGCACACGCTCAAGGGCGTTCGACAGATTTCGACATGCCCGCGCGCGAAGCCCGCTTGGTAGCATTATATGAAAATATTGAAACATCTATGCGAAATCTTTTTTAGCAAATCAGTGTTGTGAAACCCTGTGCTTTTGTATGTTGTTTGGAAACTCGATTGCGAAATCCTTCCGACACCGAAGGTTTTTGAAGGATTTCGGCATGCGCGCGTGACGACGCGCGCGTGTGCACTTCGTCCTATTTGTTGCAAGGGATTCGTGAAAGAGTCTTGTGTTAGAACAACAGATGTCCCCGCGTATTGTTTGTTACACGGGAACCTCAAAGGGGCCGACACCGGCTCCCCTGGGATAGTGTAAGTTCATGTTTAGGATGGACATGTGGTCATAATCATATATGATTTACATACCCGAAAGGGGGGATAACGCCGGGGGGGGGTAGAGTCTATTTCTCAGAAAGGACAATCAATGCGGCGCAATCAACGGGGTGGCGGCGGCGACGACGGGGTGGCGACGGCGAGCACGGAACCGCCCAGACCGAAACCCCCCGAAGACGACCGGCGGCGACGAGGCGGCGACGGAGCGGCGACGGCAAGCACGGAACAGCCAGACAGAAAAAAAAAAACAGCTCCTCAGAACTCAAGAAAGAACCCGTATGCGCAAGCACTGTTTTGGAAATTGTACTGTTTGGGAAGTAGTGCCGCCTTGATTGACAGCAACTGTTGGGAATAAGCTTGGACCTTCACATGCAATATCGCATATTGGTATGGTACCCTCCTCACCCCCGCGGACCCCTTCTACTCCTTCAGCCATCTCCGCATACGATTCCTTCAGATCAAGGCATCGCCCTTCCCATAATAGTCGATCGTTCGCTCCTCTGCGCCCCTCACCCCCCACACGGGCGGCGGGCCTCAGCAAAGCCGACGAAGCTGGAGATCTGGGATCGCTAGTCATGTGTCGGGAGCAGGGAATCGGCGGTGCTGGCGGGAGCCACTTCTTCTAATTGATTCGTGCGGTCAGTACGCGTGCGTGCGTGCGTGCGTGCGCGCCTGTGTGTATGTTTGTTTGTTTGTTTGTTTGTTTGTTTGTTTGTTTGTTTGTTTGTTTGTTTGTGTGTGTGTGTGTGTGTGCGTGCGTGCGTGCGTGCGTGCGTGTGTGTGTGTGTGTGTGCGTGTGTGTGCGTGTGTGCGTGTGTGTGTGTGTGCGTGTGTGCGTTATGAGGCTAGCGCGGGCGGAGTTCCGTTCGCTGTGCTTGACTGATTTCGTCTCGTCGCTGCGCCAGGGGCCACGACCGCCAAAAAGCGCGTACGTGTGATGTGCGCGTGCGTGCGTGCGTGCGTGTTTACAATAACGCGTCGAACTTATGTTGGGTCGCAATGTGCAACTCGCAATCGTCGCCTGCATGGCGTGTCATTTCTGCGAAAGAACACGCAAAGTGCAAAACAGACCGCACGCAGCAAGGATCGTCGTCACAAACACCATTGACATCAATCCTACACAGTATGTTGCAATACCCAAGTCTCAGAAGAAGACTTGAGTCTTGCTATAAGGCTGCAATCTTGTGCGGCGACATATCGCATGGCCACCGCTTCTAATGACAATCCTGGGGCCTCTGGGCCCATCTCCTCCTCATCCTCCTTCTCCTCTTCCGGAAGAACGGGGGAAACAAAAATACAGGTACCGCTACTCCTCGGACCTCTCCCGGGATGCGTTCTGACCAGAATTTCAAGGCGAATCCGGCGGCGGCGACGAGGGCCTCCCAGGAGGCCCAAAAAGGGGCTTAATGGTGTAAGGGTAGAGGTGTGGGTATATCTTCTCCTCCTCTGATCCTTCTCCTCCTCCGGGAGAGCGGCAATAAGCCCCACTATACTAATACGGCGCCGAGCTTCACCGCCGGCCCACCCGCTGAGCCTCGCCTCGCCGCGGCGGCCCCCCTCCCCCCCCCCGCGCACCCCCCACACCCCCTCTGCGGGTCAGCACATGCTCGCGCGGTGAACTGCTCGGTTTCCCCCGGGGCCGTAGGCGACCCGAGGAGGAGGAGGAGGAGGGAGGAGGAGGGGAGGAGGAGGAGGAAGGGCGGAGGAGGAGGAGGAACTAGGAGGAGGAGGAGGAAGGAGGAGGAGGAAGAGGAGGAGGAGGAGGACGGGTCGCCTAAGCCCTTCGGAGGAACCCTCCACCGTGAACAAGAATCGCGGCGGGACGTTTCTGCCGTTTTGCCGCTGGGGGCCCTCGCAAGGCCCCGGGAGGGGCTGTCCACGGAACGACCCGCCCTCCCTCTGCGGGAGAACGTAGAGAACCGAACTCGATACACAAACGCATTTCCTGGCCCTGCAGTGCAATTTGCAAGCAGGAAAGCGGATCCTCCTATAGACGGGATCCTCGTGCTTACATGTTTCGTTGCTTCCCTGGAAACGAATAAAACAGCATACACCACACCACATCGACGCCGTCCCCGACCCTCAAAACATCCGGGGATTGGGCAACAGCCCGCCACTGGTAATCTGTATGCTCCAGCTTCTGAGAAAAGGTCCGCACCTCTGGGGCCCCGGTCTTGGATGGACCAGGACGTCGAATGCGTGGGGGGGAACAATGTCTGTCCCGTCGCGGCCCTATCCGCGTCGAAACTGTGTCGAATTCATGTCGGACTCGTCGGATCCGCGTCGAATCCGTGTCGAATCCGCATCAAACCCACACCAAATCCGCATCGAGCCCGCGTCAGGCACAATGGAAGACACCACTTCTGGGGACAGGCGGGGTTCCCCGAAGATGCAGCGTAAGGAACGGAAGGGCTTTTCTGACCACGGCGAACCTCGGCCACAAATAGGTTCCCCGACCTAGATCCAAAGAACGGCCCGAGAACCCGAGCCCCTCCTGAGCCCAAAACGTTTCTTATTTCAGCGCATTGACTGTAGGATTAGGTCGGGCATGTCCCGCTACGGGCGGATCGTGGGGGAAAAAGGGAAAATCGAACAATAGTCAAAACAACAAAAATGCCCAGACTGTTTTTGACTCTTGCTGAATTCTCCTCCTGCAGGGGGACACGCCCGACTTGACTGCAGGAGGGGAGGCCACAGGAGGGCGAGGAGAGGGGGGCGCGCGATTGGGGCAACGCAGAAGCGCCGGGCCCAGCGCTCCGAGCTCGGTGCGGGTTCCCCCCGGAGTCCGGATCCTTCCCCGAGGGCACCCCTTGTACCCCAGACCGCTGCCTCGAGCGGTGGGGGCCCGAAGCCGGCCGCGGGAGGTCGAAAGTTAACAGAGCTGTGTGGAGTTGTTCGATGCGCTGGGAGGGATAGCCAAGACGCGGCCATACAGCCGCGCGGTATTTGCTGTACGGTCTCGCACGGCATGCGCTGGACGCAGGCGGCGCCGAGTTATTCACCCATGGTCACCGTGATCGGGGTGGCGGTGGTGCTCATGAAAATGCCCGTGGTGATGCCGATGATGGTAGGTGTCGATGATGAGTTTCAAGAAGGTGGGGCTCTGGGCCCCCCCTCCTCCTCCTCCTCCCTCCTCCCCCCTCCTGGAGCGGAACGGGAACTGAACCGCGGGGCCGAGTCGTTGCTTGACGGCCCCTGGGCCCGGCGAGGGCCCCGAGGGGCCGAACACGGCGAAGAAGACCTCAGGGCCCGTCTCCCCCAGGACCCGTCTCCCTACGCCCCCCCCCCCGACGTCCTCCAGCAGGCCGGGCACAGCGCCGCGCTCCCGGCAAGGCGGCCGGGCAGGGCCCCCACCTCGGCAGGGGGTGCCACGAGGTGCTCCCCGGCCCGAGGCCCACAGCGCTTCTCGCCGCACGCCACCCCGAGACACCGCGACTGCACCCAGGCCTCCGACGAAGGGACCCGCTGTCGGCAGTCGGTCGCAGGTCGCCGTGCCTGCTGCAGCAGGTCGGCCCCGGGGGGCCGCTCTCGGGCCGCGGGGCCCTTGCGACTTGCTGCGGGGAGGGGAAGGGGGGGGGGGGCCCCGGGGGCCGCGGGTGGAAAGACTCATGCCAGGATGTCGGGGTGCGGCGGGGGCTTCGGAGGGCCGTGCTCCCTGCAGATCCTGGGGGCACCTTCGCACAGCACACACCTGGCGCTCCGGTGTTGTTCTTGGTGCCATCGGGGACGCGCGAACCCGGGTCAGCGCAAACCCGGGGAAACCCGAGTCCGCCAGGGCCACGTCGCGAAGCCCGGCCGGCCGCCGGGTCAGCGGAGGGCGGAACGGAGGGATCGGCCCCACGGGGCTCCCCAAGTCCGGGTCAGCCAGAGGGGGCTGGCTGACCCCCGTTGGCGCTGCCCCCCGTTGCGTGCGCCCCCATGTGCGTAGGCATTCCCCCGAGGCTGGTTTTGCATCCCCAAGCCGACGCGTGGTGGTCCCAGAAAGGGCCCGGGCCCAGCCTCCGGAAGGGATAAAATGGCGACAAGCTGGCCGCTTCGATGCTTCCGATGCGCCAGATGTCTCCGTGGGGCCCGAGGCACCTTCAAGGCAGTGCCAAGGGGAGCTATACCAACTTCTCGAGGAAGCGGGTTCCCCATGACCCCCCAAAAAGAGGCCCCCCCAAAGCCCTGATCTTCCTAGATCCTCGATCTCCAGTAGGCGGCGGTGACCCCCCCTGGTGGTGACCCTCCTTGGTACTGCCCGGAGTCCGAGCAGATGGGGTCGAGACCTCGCGCCGCCGATGCATCGGAGATGCATCGGCGACTGCGGCGACTCATCGGCGACGTCCGCGTGGAGAAGACTGGGCTCCACATCGAGCCGCATCGCCGATGTACCGTCGATGCGGCGCCATCCTCCGATCCCTTCTACGTCGACACCATTGGCCCCATTTGGTAGGCCTGGGAATAAAAGGAGCAAGGGCAACTCCGCTCAGCATTGTTCCTCGGACCCGCTCCTGCCCCATCTGGTGCAGTGGTTCACCCCGGATCCGTTCCTGACGGTCCTGGGCCCCAAGAGCAGCCCCCCACAGACCCTCCCCGAGCCCAGAACCTCGACCCTCGCCCCTCCCTTCCCGCTCGCCGGAAGCCGCGCTTTGGCAACGCCCGACCACCCTCCAGGCCGGGGACCGCGCCCGGCTCCAGGCCTTTGGTGGGGGGGGGAGGGGACGGGCCGCCGCCGCTGCACACATGGAGGCCTCGCAGATGGGGTCCGAGTGGACGGGGGTCCGAGGGATCGCGCCGCATCGCCGATGCATCGGCGACGCCGGCGTAGAGAGCAGCGGGCTCCGCATCGAGCCGCATCGCCGATGCATCGGCGGTGCGGCGCGATCCTCCAATGCCCCATCTGCTCCAACCCCACCTGGGAGGCCTGGGACACGGGCCCCACCCTGCCGCGGGGCAGACGCCAGAGAGGGCCCAGGATCGGCGACTCCTCGTGGCGGCGACGCTCGAGGCTCGAAGCGGGGCGGGAAATGAACGAACGAACGAACGACCACCCTTGGCGGCGCCCGCGCCTTCTCTAAGAAGCAGGGGTGCTGCCAGGATTAGGTCGGGCGTGTCCCCCTACAGGCCGACTTTGGGCGAAAAATAAAGAATGCACAGGAAATCGCCCAAAATGCTGGAAAAATGCTCAAAACATGGTCCCCAGACTATTTTTTTTTACCCATTTTCAAGTATTCCCCCTGTAGAGGGACCGGCCCGACTCAATGCTAAGAAGCTGACGCCCCTGGGATCCTGGCGCTGCAATGTTTTCACAAGGGGCGCCTTCATCCAGTTTTGCGCCCGGGGGCCCTCACAGATCGATTCGGCGCCAAAATGGCGCAGAAGCACGGGGTCCAGAGCTCCGGTGGTGACTTGCTGCGATGTTGCAGCTGTTTTGCAACGTCAGATCTGAGGGACCGCTGCGGACAGGCGTACGGGCCTACCGGTCAGGAACTTTCGCTTAGCGTGATGCCGCGGCGGCCCCAGCGACACGCTATACCCTGCGGATGGCGTGTCGCTCTGCTCCGCGGGGCCTGAGGTCGGGAAACGCTCGGGTCGTGGGTGCTGGGGGGCTTGGAAGTGGATAGCGTGTCGCGCCGAAGAGTGAGCGGCCAGAACGGGCGGAGCGACACGCTGATTAAGCCCAAGTTCCCAAACCAGAACCCCCGACTTTGACACACTTTCGATTCACCAGACATGTTTTGGCCACACTCTGAGGTATACGACCATGGCGTCCATCCTCGTGAGGGGTGCGTCCAGTGCGACTTGGGGGGTAGCAGAAGTCTGTGCTCTCTCCAAGCGGCCAGCGTTGGGGCGGGAACTCGGGGCTTGGGGGCGAAAGGTCGCCCACGATAGGGCTCCTGCGGTCGGCGTGCTCTCAACGCCAATGCCGGGGGTCCGTCGGCGTGGCTCTGTCTGCCTCGACGCTGGCCCATGGCGCAGGCGGACGGCCGGCTTTCGCTCCCGGCGCGGCCGGCGGGCGCGCCCAACCCTGGGGGCGCGCAGAGCAGCCCCGCGGGCGAGCACGCCGGCAGCAGCCTCTCGGCGAAGGGGGGGGAGACGGTTTCCCCCGGTGTCGTAGGCGACCCGAGGAGGGGAGGGCGAGGAGGAGGAGGAGGAGGAGGAGGAGGAGGAGGAGGAGGAGGAGGAGGAGGAGGAGGAGGAGGGAGGAGGAGGAGGAGGAGGAGGAGGAGGAGGAGGGAGGAGGAGGAGGAGGGAGGAGGGGAGGGAGGGAGGAGGGAGGAGGGAGGAGGGAGGAGGGAGGAGGAGGAGGGAGGAGGAGGAGGAGGAGGAGGAGGAGGAGGAGGAGGAGGAGGAGGACGGATCGCCTAAGCCCTTCGGAGAAACCCTCCAGGGGGGTGGGCGGGAAGCGGGGCGGGAACGAACGAACGAACGACCACCGCTGAGATCCTGGCGTTGCATTTCTTGTCGCAAGGGGCGCTTTCGCCCAGCTTCGGGCCCCCTCACAGAACGATCCGTCTCGACACATGGTGCGTGCGAGCCTCCAAACGGGGGTTCTTCTTTTGCTCGGCGTGGTGCCGCGGCGGCCCCAGCGACACGCTGTGCCCTCCGAGCGGATATAGCGTGTCGCTCCGCTCTGGCGGGGCGGGAGGCTCAGGGGAGGCCAAGGGCGTTGACGCTTCGTGGTTTGGAAGTGGGTAGCGTGTCGCGCCGAAGCGTGGTGGGCCAGAACCGGCGGAGGGCGACACGCTACCCCAAAGTTCTCGACCGTAGCTTAGACCTGCTAGGTGAGGCCGTGGCCTCCCGTTTCTGGCGTGTCTGGGCACATGCAGTATATGCAAGACAGGTTTAGGAGAAGTGAATTTTCCAGCAGCCACACAGCTGGGAAAAGGTAGTGTGATATCCAGTCCGAAGATACGGAGAATTGGAGGGCCTGGCGGAGCGCTTCCGAGCGGGGCTTGGCAGCCTGGCGTCGGAGCGAGAACTACACCGCACGCAACGTCTGGGCCTCGGGTCGGTCACTGCACCTTCTGGGCCCCCGTGCTCCAACCTCGGAATGGCTGCCAGCTTCTGCGTCCTTCCCCCCACCACCCTCCGAACCCTCCACCAGAGGAAGAGGCGACGAGGAGGAGGGGGATGGTGAAGGTCAGACGGGCGCGCAGGCACCCCAATGGACTCGTAGATATCCAGCACCTGAACTCGAGTGAGGGTAGAGACATATCCCTCCAAAACGGTGGCTAGGTACGGGTGGCGACGCTTTGACAGTCGACTCCTGCGAATATTGGCATTATTATCCCTGAGAGCCCCTGGACAACCAAGAAGCACACCACATGCACATCGACTGGAAAACACCCCACATCGACGGCAGAAGGTGTAGGGACCCACGAGGGAAAGGCTGTGCTGTCGTGGCCCCCAAAAATTGAACCTGTTCAGCTCGAGCCAGACCCTTCCATCACGAATGCGAGGATAACAATTTGCTTCGAGCAAGCCTGGCGTGCCAACTTGTCACGGGCCTGGCGTCGAATGCGTGCACCTCCAGGCGCCGCGCACCCATTCAAAAATGTGCCTGCTCGGCACGGGGAAGCTAGGGATTCGAATAACTTTGTTGTAGGGGCCTGGGGCTCTGGCATCCCTGGGGCGCCCCGTGGTGTCCGCAAAGGCTCCCACCTCCGAGGTGATAGAGCCGATCAAGCCTTGGAGACATGTCACTTCCTCAGGCCTGGTCCGCAAAGTATCGAGCAGGTGACTGGGAAATGGGGAAGGGCACTGCATCAGCTGTGGGCTGGTTGCTTTCCTGCGGGGGGGGGGCTCGAAATATACACCAAACCCTGCAAAAGTCTGGACCCCAGAAACGGCTTTTTTAACCCGCGTCGTTTCCTGACGGCCTTGGGCCCAGTGAGGCCCCCCGGCGGCCAAAAACCTACAATGTTAGCCAGAGTGGACCCCAGAGAGTGAGTGATTGCACTGTAGAGATTCTAGTAGAGATGCCAGCTACGTTGTGTAATATCTGCGGTGTGAGCTATCTGTTGCAAGCTATGGTGTGCGAGCCATGTGGTGTAAGCCATGTTGTGTAAGCTATGTGGCGTGGACTATATCGTGTTTGCAACTTTGTGCAAACTACGTGGTGTAAACTATGGTGTGTACTCTACGTGGTGCGACCGGCATGGTGTGAGCTTTGTTATATAGAATACGTGCTGTGAGCTATGCGGTGGATGGGGCACGAGGAGGCCACGGGGCGGCCGAGAGCGTCGATGTGGCGAAACCTCGCCCGACCCACCCGGCGCACAAGGCGGCCACGAGGCGGCCACGGGTGGCAACGTGGCGAGGGCTCGCCAGAACCACCCAACGCACGAGGCGGCCACGGGCGGCAACGTAGAAAATCCTCGCCGGACCCATCCAGATCCTCGGGGACACAAATAAGAACACCTAAGTGCAAACACTGGTCGAAGAAAAAGACCTGCCGCCGGGAATGCTTCACGACGCAAGGGGGGGGGTCTGCAGAGAGGTAAGCTCCATCGCCTTCTTCCAGGGCCAGCTCCTCCGCCGATCTAACAGAAAACGAAGCGCAACAGCCGACACGAAATTTGCGCTAGGAGGAAGGGGGAGGATGGAGGGATGAGGAGAGGGAGGAGGAGGAGGAGGAGGAGGAGGAGGAGGAGGAGGAGGAGGAGGAGGAGGAGGAGGAGGAGGCGGGCGAGAGCCCCCCTGGAGGCCGAGAAAGCTAAGAAGAGCCTCCGCCCTGTTCTTGCCCAGACCTTGGGTGTCTTTTTGTCCAGGAAATTTAAAGGGGCCCCAGGACACACAAGTAAAGACACACAAATAAACAGATTCCCCATATTTCCCCATATTTTCTTAGTTTTTGTCTTCCCCCCCACTTCCCATATTTTCCCATATTTTCCTGGGGGATCGCCGATTAATTGTGTCTGTGTGTTTCTTTCCCTCCTGAACCTTGGGTGTCTTGTTTCCAGGAGGTAGCTCGGGTCTACAGCAGCCCACCGGGACGATTGGGGCACCCCCAGAACGCTCTCGGCGACGCTCAGCTGCTGAAAAGCACCCCGAAGGTGAGAACCCTCGGGGAACCGACGACAAACTGCAACAACACATCAACCTTGATCTTTTCAAGACTCTGGATGTCTGATGTTCATTCGTTCACTCATTCGGCAACACGCCAGAGTGACCCTATAGGAAAGAGTACCCTTAGGTGCGCGGCTTCAGGGGGCCCGGAGTGGACAAAAAACTAAGCGTACAAGTCTTTGCTATCGCACCGCATCGCAGAGTTATTGGGGCAGCGCTGGAATTCCTGGCGTGCTCCGCGCGCCAGGGGGTGTGGTCCAGCGCCAGAAATCTGCGCGGAGCCCTGAGAGTTTGCGCTTGTGTAGCTTGTTCCTCCTCTCACCCTGGCGAACGGCCACTGTTTTACCAAAAGCCTCCTACATGGGATCCGAGTAGATATGGTATCGGAAGATTGCGCCGCATCGCCGATGCATCGGCAACGTCGGCGGTGCATCCGTGGCGCCGGCGTGGAGAAGATCCATCGAGACGTGTCGCCGATGGATCGGCGACGCGGCGCGATCCTCCGACCCCATCTGCTCGGACTCCTACAAAGGAGGAAGTAGGAGAAGCAACTTCGCTCAAACTCGGTCTCTGGACCCATCTTGGGGTCAACCTGGTGCAATTCTTCACCCCGTATCCGTTTTTGACGGTCCCGGGCCCCGCACACAGCCCCCGAAGCCCGAAAAATCGGATGCCCAGAAATCCCCTGGAACCGACAACCTCGAACATCCCCCCCTCCCTGCAGGCCAGAATCAATGCTGGGCCACCTTGGATTCCCAGCCGGCTCCAACTCTCTTACGCGTACAACGGCTGCGCGTAAGAGTAACCCTGGGCAGGAGTGACCTTTGGTGCGTGGCTTGTGGGGGACGCGAAAAAGCCAAAAGTAAGCGCGCAGGCCGCTGCTATCGGGCATCGCATTTAGCGATCGGGAGGGGCACAATGGGCCCGCACCAAAGGTGAATCCGGCGAAGGGCCACTCTTATAGTCGAACACATGTCTCTTTCAGTCCGCGGGCACCAAGTGGTCAAAGACAGTCAGACGCCTGTCAGCCAACAGTGGGGTGCACTGGGAGCGACTCGAGGCGTGAAGGCGACAAGAGCGCGAAGGGGAAAGAAAAAGGAGCCCGCTCAGACCACGAAAAGCTGGCGCGGGGATGCCGTATAGGATAGATCTTGCATGCGAGCTGCGTGCAAGCAGCGGCTCTTGTCGAATACGAGGAACGTCACGGCGAGGGGCGCGGGGGAGGGCCCCCGGGGGCGGGGCCTGCGCGGCAAGGGCACCTCGGCTGCCGGGCCGCCGGGCGGCGCCGGCGCGCGGTCTGGAGGCGGCCGCGGCCGCACGGCGGCGGGCTCCTGGGCATGCATCGTCTTGGTGAAAACGGGACTCGGGCGGGTGGCTGATGGGGGGTTCGTGAAGAGGAAGGTCCAAAAGCGGCCCTGCAGGGCCCCTTCTTAACGGGCTCCTTCAGGGCCTCTTCTTCACCCCCAGTTAGGCCACCTTCCATTACCACCCGCCCGAGAAACCCAGACTTATCGTTTCTGGCCGCTGGTCGAAAAAAACGGGGTAAACACAAACTGCAGGAGTTCAGCGCAAATTTCTTGGATCGGCGATGGACCCCCCTCCCTGGCACGCCGAGCGTGCCAGAGGCGGCGCTGGAGGCACGCGAATTCATTGTTTCTGGCCTCTGGGGGGGCCGCCCTCGCTGGGCAGCGGGACCGTCAACAAGAACGGCCCAGCATGACAACAAAAATTGCCGTGGGGAAGGGGCTGGGAGTTCCTGGGAGTCCGTCGGGTGTATGGGTTCGTGTCGTGACGACCCCATGGTTTGTTTATGGCACCGCGTGGATCGTTCCACCTTGACCGATCAGCGGCTTTTCGGTCGACGAATCGTTCTATATTGGCCGATTCTAGGCCGCTGGCTGCGCTTAACCTTGAACACCTGTGGCGGGGCCGCCGCCACCTCGGCACCAGCGACACTATTTCTAGGCCCACGGACCTCTCGAACTCTTGCCCAGGACCCGGTCTTGAGCCCGAGCTGCTTTCTGATGGCCCCGGGGCCCTGAAATCAGCTTCCAAAAACGGAAACTGGAGAAAACCGTGCAATCCTGGTGTTGTTCGTGCCGCCGGATTTCTGCGACGTCTTTCCAGACCTTTGCGGTTCTAGCTCCGAGATTAGGTTTTGTAGGTTTTCCAATCTCAGAATACTTTCCAGCAGCTGCGCCTCACCTACATCGGTCCTTGAATTCTTAACGGCCTCCAGGGCCCGCCTTTTGTGGCCCGAGGACCACCTGGTCTTGAAACAATCAAGGCGAATATTTGTTGTCGTTGTTAGCCTCCCCAGCGGGGCCATCCAGTCCACGGGGCCTCTCGACAAGGAAACGACTCGCGGGTCGGTAAAGGGTCGGGACTTCGAAAAGTCAAGTCGTCCTATGTCGGGGTTTTCCGCTGCTTTCCACTTCATCTTTAGCTCGCGGGCGGGGAACATATCTGCATCCACGACCTCGCGGGCCGGGCCCCGGGGACGCGACCCCTGGGGCACTGGGATTTTTTCCGTTGGCGCCCCGCGCGGAATGTATCCATGCGGCCGCGTAATTCTCCACGGGATCGCGTCACGAAATCCAAACCGCCGTGGACGTGAACCAAATCGCTGCTCGTGATGAGCCACAGGGCGACCCCGTCGCGCAGGTACGGCAGGTTCGCGCGGCGTCGGCGCCCGCAAAGGCGTTTGACACCGCGCCGATGGTTCAACCTTGAGCCGATCGCGGCCCTGGTCGTTCTCAAGGTCGAATGCGGTCGGGTCCGGCGGCGTTGCCGTGTCCATCGGTGCTTCCGCGTCGCAGCGTTCAACCTTGAACGCCTGCGCTGGCGTCGCCGGCGCGCCAATGCCGCATGAGCCAACCGTACGGCAGAAAGCGCCGCTCCTCGTCCACCTGCGCGATGCTGCCCCTCGGAGGACACCTGTGGCCTCCCGGGTGGCCAGTCACAGACCGGCCACGGGGTGCGGCCGCCACCACGAGCCTGCTCGGGATCGGGACGCTGAAGACCACGTCCTCCGGGGTCGTCGCGACGAACCTGGGGCGGAGAGGCCCAGATCGCTTGAATTAGGTCGGGCATGTCCCCCTACAGACGGATTTTGGACGAAACATAAAAAATAGTCAAAAATCTACCAAGTGTTAAAAATACTCATAACATCGTCCCCAGAATATGTTTTGACTATTTTTGAATATTCCTCCTGGAGAGGGACAGGCCCCACTTACCGCTTGCAGAGCTCGAGGCTCGAGGACGCCGAGGCGGCCAGGTCTCTCAATGTTCCGCCTCTGAAGGCGGGTTTCGGGCCCGGGGGCAAGCAGAAACGCGTCTGGGTGACAGCCAGCCCCAGGGAAGGGGTCGACAGCTCGGGGGCCCGTGTCTCGTAAACTCGAGCAGGCGGATGTCTGCGGAAATAGCCAGGAGGAGGTTTCCAAAGTCCAAAGTTATCAGAAGCCTCTGGAGGGCCACAGACATCTAGAAGTCTCGATCCTCGAGGGCCGATGAGGAGGGGGAACGAGGAGGAGCTAATAGAGGGACGCTGGAGTGGAGGGGCACAGAAGGGACATCGCAACCTGCTGTGAGGGAGCGGCTCCGGCACACAGCAAGAACCCTGTCGGCAAGCCTGGCTGGGGGGCTGGGGATCATCGATCCCCGAAGATCGAAGAGGATGAGGACTTGCTCGATAACGGCTGGCGTGCAATTCTTCAAGCCAGCTCCAGCTATGTGTGCCACCCCAGGGGGGGGGCAAGGCCAGTATCGATAGTACGCCGCCGTGGAAGCCCACCAGCGAGATACTCTTGAAGAGGCACGAGGCCTCCGGGCGAAGGCAAAGGAAGAGCACGCTGACGGGCTTCCCGGGGCGGCGTGGCAGCGATACTCTGCTCCCCTCCTGGACCGTGGGCCACTCCCGACCAGCAACGCAAGGACCCCTGACCCTGCGGGAGGGGACCCAAGTCAGGAGGACCAAGCCATTGGGGACAGGGGGTCCTTTCTGCAGATGTATCGAACCACACCGCCCAAATTCTCGATCTTCAGCGGGAACGTACGGTAGCCTGCCATACCATCTTGTCGGCTCTTGCGAATCGACGCTGGTCGACGCTAAGTCGATACTAATCAACGCTAAATCGACGCTCGCCGACACTAAATCGGCGCTATCTCATCGACTCCCTGATGCTAGCCGACGCAAAAGACGGAATTAAGAGGGCGCACCTGGCTCCCATGACTTGCCACCGAACATTACGTATCCCTGATGGAAAGACGGGGGTCCGCGTGCCCACACTTGAGGCCACGACTTCACTGTGTTCTTAGGGTCACGGGTTCTCTCATTATCGATGAGTTCCTTCCCGGGGGGGGGGCGGGACGAGGAGCTGAGGCACCCGATGTCGGTGCAGGGCCCCGTGGAGTCACGACCCTCTGGGGCAAACTGCTCGTCCTGATCGGGGGAGGCCAGGAGGGGCGCGTCCAAGAGGAGGGGGCACAAATAATGGCCAGCGGCATGTGCGCGGCCCAGGGAAGGGGGGAAGGCAGGGACGTATTGAAATAAAAAGAGGCGCCGTGAAGTCTGGGGAAATATCATTGCCCCCGCCAGGATATCCCCCCCCCACCCTTGGCATCACCCACCTCTTGGCCGCCCCCGACCTGAGTCGTTTTGTTGACGGTACTGGGCTGGGACGGTCCTGGGACCCTGCGGGTTCCGAAAACGACTAAAAGCATCAATGATATTGCTTCGTGTTCACTACGCTGGAGTCCGGGGAAGAGGAGGAGGAGGACGACGAGGAGGACGACAACAGAGGGGCGATGAAGAGGGGCGAGGAGGAGGGAGTGGGGGAGACGAAGCAGGAGGATGAGAGTCTTCCCGTACAGGCGACGAGCTCCTGGAACTTATCCCCTGACGACGTTTTCAAAGGAGTGCTGACGTGTCAGGGGAGGAAGAGGAGGAGGAGGAGGAGGCGGAGGAGGAGGATGAGGAGGAGGAGCAAAGATGAGCGGAGGAGAAGGGGGAGGAGGAGAAGGAGCGAGGAGAGGAGCTAGGACGAGGAGCGAGGAGGAACGAGTAGGGGACGAGGAGGAGCGAGTGGGGACGAGGCGGAGCGAGGAGCGGCGAGGACGCACCAGGGCTGCTCGTCCCTCAGCTCCGCCACCACCTCCAGCGGCGAGCCCTCGCCCTGCTGCCTCTCCTGGCCAACCGCCCGGGGGAGCGAGTCGGCGCGGGGGCCGCGGGCCCCTCGGGCCTCGCCCACGAGCCCTCCCTTCTCGCACCTCCCCCGCCTCCGCCACCGGATCATCGAGACCTCCACCGTGATCATCGTGACCGTCATATCCTGCTCAGCACCATCAGCATCAACATCACCACGATCATCATCATCGTGCGCATCCTCATGCCCATCCTGATCCTCATCATGATCACCCTCACCATCAGCAACATCATTACCCCCATTATCATCGTCACCAGCACAACCCGACCACCTCCATTACCAGCATCAGCCTCGTCATCATAATCATAATCCTCATCAACAGCGTCATCCTCCTCCTCGTCATCATCATCATCATCACCATCATAATCATCAGCATCATCATACTCATTATCATCGTCATCATTATCTCCAGCATTATCGTCATCAATACCACCATCATCATCATCATCATCATCATCATCATCATCATCATCATCATCATCATCATCGTCATCATCATCATCATCATCATCATCAATACCATCATCAATATCGTCATCATCATCATCATCATCATCATCATCATCATCATCATCATCATCACCAGTATCTCCTTAGCTCTTCAGCTCCTCCGCATCCCCGCTCCCCGCTCATCCTCCGCTTCCTCTTCCTCCCCACAACTCCTCTTCGCTCCTCCTCCTCCACCTCATCCTCTTCCTCCTCCTCCTCCTCGTCCTCCTCATCCTGCTCCTCCGGCTCCTCCTCCTCCTCCTTCTCCTCCGCCTTCTTCTCATCGCGTCTCATCCTTCTCTCTCCTTCCCTCCCTCACTTCTCATTCTCGTCGTCGCTGCTCCTCGCTCCTTCTCCTAACTCTTTCTCGCCCCCCTCCGCCTCATCCCTTTCCTCGATATCGACCACCGAACCTGCCCTGGAGCCCATTCCGACTAGGACTTCAAGGCGGGTCCAGCGGTGGCGACGACGAGACCCCCCCAGAAGGCCCAGAAGGGGACGATGACGAGCATGGTGAGGACGACGACGATGAGCTGTTTCCTTCCCCTCGCCACTCTTCGCAGGCATGGCTCAGGCCACTGTGGCTCAATTTGCTCGGCGGCTCAAGCGGCTGCTTCTGCTCCTCCTTCAATATAACACCTCCCTGCATCGCCCTCCGCCTCGTCGCATTGTCGCCGTCGCCCTCCTCTTCTTCCTCCTCCTCCCCCTCCTCGTATAATATGCGTAGTCCCTCCTCCGCTCCCTCCTCCTTCTCCTCCTCCTCCTCCCCCTCTTACTCCTCGTCCTCCTCTCGTCATCATAATCCTATTCCTCCCTATCCTCGTCGTCGTAGGCCACCTCCTTCTACTCCTCAGCCTCTCTTCGTATCTCTCTACCTCTCTGTCTCTCTCTTTTCCCCTTATCCCCCTCTCTTTCTCTCTCTCTCTCTCTCTCACCCTCTCCCCATTCACCGCGGCGGTGACGACGACACCGACGACCACGACGACGACGACGACGACGACGACGACGAAGACGACGACGACAACCACGGCCACGACCACGACGACGAAAGACGGCGGCGGCGGAGATGACGCCGACGAAGACGACGACGACGGCGACCGACGGCGGCACTGGCGACCGACGTCCTCCGCGATGGCGTACAGCTTCAGCGCTCTCTCGGCGGTGTCGCGCTGCGCGGCCTTCTTAGAGTTCCTCCAGACCCCAGCCAGGTGGTGCGGGACCCCCTCGAGGAGGAATGCCACCTCGGGGGGGGGGGGAGGGGGGGGGATACAAAAAGGATATGGGAAGGCCCAGACGTACCCCCAGGACGCCGTACCCCCAGCGGGGTGTCGCAGCGGCCACGGTTCTAGCCACGGTGGGCGCCTAAGCGCAGCCTTTGGGCGTCCCGAGGTGGAGATGGGTATGGCATGGAGACGGCCTCCCTCAAGAGGAGAGAAGGAACGTGGAGATGGAGTAGAGACTGGGGATGAGGATGAGAAGGGGGAGGAGGAGGAGGAGGAGGAGGAGGAGGAGGAAGAAGCAGAGGAGGAGGAGGAAACAGAGGAACATAATGAGAGAGCCACCGTGGCGCGGAACTCCAGGTTCGAAGAGACCACTCGTGTGCTGAGATCCCACTGCAACACCGAGCAATTCCCGGGTAGCGCGATGGAGGCATCCTGCACGTACTCCTGCAACTGTGAGATCGGCCCCCTGCTGTTCAAGGCCACGGGCCTGCCAGCAGGATCACATGAGGCACCCTCGAGCACACCCTTGCGGGAAACTAATAGGGTCGGCTTCCCCATGTGTCCCATGGAGATCGGCAGGCAACAAAGCGCGGGAGCGCGAAAAGCATGCAAACATAAATGTCGAGCTCTGCGCAGACGGTCTCTCCGCACACGCAAGACCCCAATCCCCGCCTCCCTGGCGCTGTTCGCACGCGCCCGCGTCGGCGACGAGGGCGCCATCCATAAGTGCGGGGAAGGGGGTCCAGCGACCGTAGAAACAAGTCCGCAGGCGCACGACTTTTACGCGTGTTTGCTTTCCTGGCTGGCCGAGTCGAAGATCCCCTCGATACCATTTGTACACTGCGGAAGAGGGTCCGGGAGAACAAGGAGGAGAAGCCAGTGGTGGAGGCCAGCAGCACCCACTCTTCATGATCTCACTGGCACCTCCATCTCACTCTGTTTACGTGCGCCCCCCTCCTCCACCTCCTCTTTCCGCCACTTCCTCGTCCTACCCTTCCTCTCCT